GGGTTACTTTGGTTTGTCGGAGCTTTATCGTGGGGTTATGATTTTTTTGGCTTTATCGGCGTGATTCCAAATTTGGAGAATGAGACCACTCTACACTACTCTTGTTCAAACTCGTACACCAACACTTCTTGCAATTGACTACTCTTGTGATTCAAAAAATAAGAATTGGATTTTTTAGACTTGACCCTAAAAAGTAAAAACGTTATTGTTTATTTTTTTTAAAAACGTTATTTGAATTTTAAATATTTTTTAGTTACACCAAAACTCTTATAACTCTTTAAAAAATAATAATAATAATAATAATAATAATAATAATAATAATAACTACGATGATGAAAAAATATAATTAAACCTAGAGATATAATTTAAATTAAGAGAAATATAAAAAGAGATTAAAAAACAAAATTATTCTTTGGGAATTTTTAAGGTTTCATTTTCTCCTTATTGGTTCATTTAGCATTTATTTTTTAATTACAATATTTATTTTTAATTAAACCAAATATCTAACACATGTAATCATATACTTTAATTCATACTTGAAATCCACACTTCTATTTTATGATTTAAATAAATAAAGTGTAAAAATGTCATAAGCATTGAAATTTATTTATTCTATTTTTATAAGTAATAAATAAATTAAAATTAATTAACTAAATATACAACATGCGCAGGACATTACCTAGTTTTACTCAAAAAAAAGATAGAGGTTTTTCATGTTCCAAGCAATATACAAAAGTTTAACAAGATTTTTAATATAATTAATACCCCTTTGTAAAAAAAAATTGGAACCATATTAAAAATTTCAAAGTTTATGATATACTGTATTAGACTTCAAATTTCAAGAAATATACAAAATATTTAACAAGATTTTTAATACAATCAATACACATTTTATAAAGTTTTTGGAACCATAGTAAATTCAAAGTTTGATACTATATTAGATTTATATTATCTTCAATGAGTACAACAATGTTAGTGTCGCTATGATTGATCTTGTTTCTTTTTCCTTATGTGCCATGATAAAAAGCTAGAATTTCATTACTTTCCCAACATAGGCTTGAATGATATTACTGCCCATGGCCTAGAAATGTTGTAGACTACAAAAGTACAAAATATGATTGTTCGACTAACTTTTTCTTAGGTGATCCAAAAGGCTTTTTAGATTCAAGACTACTCCATGAGATTCTTGGAAACCAATTAAAAATTTTCGACTAAGGCGACTTGGTTCTCACTTACTCTATCATTTAAAGTTTTAAATGTTATATAAATATAGGAGATGAAGATAATAATACAATTTACATATATATTTTTTTATTATAGGGCAGGAAAATTCTAAAAAAATAGACTATAAGTAGAATGATAAAGTTGGGTCATATAGTCTCACTATTCTTCATCTTCATAAAGTTGATTTTTTTTTTCTAGTACTCTTTCTTTTGAATATTAAAGCTGTTTTTTTCCCCTTAATATTCTGTAATTTGATTCTATATTCGAAGGCACTGATCGAAGACATGAGCTTTTAAGAGATGAGCAAGTGCTACTACACTTTATAGACCTCGCCACTATCTTTTATTTTCACATATTTCATTGAATCTTTAACAACGAAACTGCTACTACTTTCACGTTAAAGGACAAGAGCTGGGCTTAATAGACATGTAACCAAAGACCACAAGGTATATGAGTAAGAGAGAGAGAGATTTGGCAATAATACCTAACAAAATGCTCAAACCAGAGTCACAGGTTTGCTGTAGACAGAAGAATATTACAAATGTTTGGGAGGGAGAGAGAAGAGTTTACTTAGTCATCTTTCTTGCTTCCAAACAGTTTCTCATACACATTGGTTTTCCCGTTGCATACGAACGAATTTAAACTCGAAAACAATGAGTCGATCTCTTGTTCCTTCTTTTCGTACACGACAAAAACAATGAAGGCAATGGGAAGTCCTGTTATAGACAAAGAATCACAACAACAACAACAGCAACATAACAAAATTAGTTATTGTTGATGAACTATAATTCGCAAGTAGCATGTCATGAAACTAGACAAAGAGAGAAAGAGTACCTATAATAAATATGTTGCGAAGAGATATGGCTCCGGCGAAACTCAATGCTAACAAAAGGATGACCACCTACGACAATAGAAACACCAAGCTAACAAGGATGAGTTTTGTGACTGATTATTGTCCCCATTCATGCTTCAGGTTGGTGTCGAGATTTCGTAAGACTGGGAAATAACGAGTTCTAGTGGTGAATACCTTGAAAAAGAGTTTCCAATCATTCCCCTGGCAAAGAGATCTTAAAGCTTTTACAGTGGTGTTCCATGAACAGATCACTGACAATGAGAGGTCACGTGATGAGTCTTTAGAGAGGTGAAACAGTGATGCAGGAATCTTTTCGACTGTATAACCAAATCTGCAAAATATTGATTTATATTCAGTTGTTGTTCATAAACTGAATAGTCAGCAAATGCTTATTTTGTGTGTTCCTGATTAAAGAGCACAAGATACAGTGTTTCAAGAATGCTTGGCATGCATCTATTGGGACATGAACATGAAACTGTTATGTGTTTCGTGAAACTGAAAAAATTATAGTGAACATTTTACCTTCTGGTTTCCATTATCAGAGAACTAGGTTAAGGTAGTTGGCATTTCAGGAATCTTACATTTTCTCTGGTAGAATGCCATGGAGGAACAAAAACACTGATCCTATCAGTAGAGCCTTTGAGAGAGCAGTTACGACGGTAGCCTCAGTTGCAACAAAGTTATAATGGATACTAATTAGAATGAATATGGCAGCGAGCGTCTGCTTTAAATCCTTCCAGAGAAGTGTATCAGCAACTGCAAAATCATGTTGTAACAAATGAATCACGACCAGGGTAGATTTTTCAAGATTTGAAAATAAATGTCTATTTACACTAATATCCTATGCCTCTTCACTAATATGGTAGCTATGAAAAAGAACATCGTTTTCGGGAGAGCCGTGCAGATGTTTAATAGTCCTAAGATTTTAAAATAGAAGGAAAATATCCAGTGTTGCATTATGAAAATGACACGCTATTAGTCTTATCATGTGAGAGACAATCAGCTGAGAGGACAAGCAAGCTAAATGAAATATATGGCATACCCTTTCCGCTTCCGAGGATCCTAGAAGCCTTAGATGGGCCTTCTCTTTTAGATTGACTTTGAGCTGTCAGGTGAGAGAAAGAGTCTAACGTCCTCCGTATACCTTCCTGCAGGATTATCAAGGCATGCATTAAATAAAGAATGATAAAAGGCTTCATTTATAGCAATAATTGATATGATGCATCCAGATCCAGTAGGTATGTTACAGAAATGCAACAAATACATCTCTTTTTCAAATCAAATAATGTATAACCTGAAGTGGCACCACAGGAGCATAGCCTAGCCGGTCCTTTGCTTTCGTAGAATCAAAAGTTCTGCTGCACGAGAGCAGCCGAACTCTTGAAGGTGTTAGTTGTGGTACTTTCATTCCATATGGTCCCAACCATTTATATGTCTGTTCAACCAGATGTGCAATTGGCATCATGACAAGGGCAGGGATCTTTATGCTTGGCCTGCAAAATATAATACATTAGGAAGAACAGTAAACGGTAAAGCTTTTGTACAGTGCGTGAAACTGGGATGCTTTCATTGTGTATGGAAAGAACTTCCAAATAAAAAGCAAGAAAATGTGTCAGCTCAAATAAGGGAAAATAAATTATTACCTCTCGTAGCCAAGTCCTTCAAGAATCTGTGACATAAATTCCCAAAATTTAATTGGCTCCATGTTGGTGATGAAATATGCCTGCAAATCCACTATATGTCAGGTCAGCCTACAACTAAAATTTTCCGAAAACATCATAAATAGATTACCATCTGACTGTATGCCTTAACTAAATCTATTTTCCAAGCATTTAATTTTAATTTAAATACAACATGAAAAAATGGAAATCATCTTCTTTGAAGAAGTTGGCACACACCTAAAACGGATCTATCTCAGCTAAACACAACATAACAGAAAAACAATCCCAAATGAAAAACAAGCAAGGCTCTTTAAAAGTTCACATGATATTAGAGTGAAAACAGTTTCTGTCTCAGGCTTCATGGTATGTCTAAACATGAAATTGTCTTCCTTAGTTCAGTCCGGTTCACCAAATGACGACATTCATTTTAACCACAGATAAAATGAGATACAACTGAGACCAAACTCCACCTTAGAAAACTACAGCACGTAATCAACTGAAAAAAAATTACCTGTCCTGCAGCTTTTGTAGAAACATCTCCTCCTGAAGCTAGAGCACGCTCAGCACAAACATGGGCATGAGCAACATTCTCAACGTAAGTGAAATCGTAAAGATTATTCCCATCACCTATAATAAACTGGACATTAAAGAACCATAAAACAGTCATGTCAGATCTAAGGTTTATGAAAGATTTTATGTCAAAGAAAATCATTGCAAACGATACAACTTAACCTATTCAATTCATTTAGATAGATCCTTGATCATATATAGCACCTCTTAACTAGCAGCATACCATTTCTAAGGGAGATCGTT